AAAAAAATATGTAATGTTCTTGGCCACCTCTATGTGAGTAGCGGGGTCGTCTGGCCACCCCTGAGAAAAATGTCTGGCTCCACCTCTGTGTGCTACCATGATCAGATGCAAGGACTGGGCGGAAAATGAATTTAAAAATAGTCAAAGTCCAAAGAATAACTTTCTAAGACCTGAACGCCTTGCTCTTTGGGGAAAAAAAATCTTACAAGTGGCTTTTGCACAACAGTTAGGTCCTCAAGTAGAATAAAAAAAACTTTGCACAGTCCTACAAACAGGTGTGCTACACCTCAGACTTTGTGTTACAACAGAACACTGTTTCATCTTAAATGCAATGTTTGTTTTTTTTACCCATAGCTCAGACATTATCTGTCACYGACAATGAGAACAGATAAGATAGAGGCAGATAACCATCCTGTGAAATAACACTGAACAAAAATATAAAATTATTTAAAATAGACACTGTATGACCCCAGTTCAGAAAAAGTTGAAGCTGGTAACAAAGGAATGCAATGATTTGCAAATCTCATAAACTCATTTTATTCCCAGTGAATCATAGTAAACATATCAAATATTTAAAATAAGAAAGTGAACCGTTTGAGACTTGATTCTATGTTTTTTGGGTGTGTGTGTTGGGGTGGTGGGAGTAGGGTAATTCTGAGTTTGATGACGGCAACACACCTCAAAAATGTTGGGACAGAGGCAATAAAAAGCTGTAAAGTTAAACGGTACGAATAAAAACCAGCTGGAGCTGCATTTGGCAACTAATTAGGCTAATTTTCAACAGGTCAGTAAGAAGACGGGGCATAAAAAGAGCCTTTTAGAGAGGCCAAATCTCTCAGAAGCAAAAGATAGAGGTAAACTGTTCTGAGAAAAACAAGCTAAAATTGTGGAATGATTCCAGAATAATCCTGGGAAGACTGAATATTCAATCATCTTCAGCTGAAGAAGAAAGAAAGGTAACATCGGAGCCATAAAACAAGCTGAGTGGTTCTGACAACAAGCTGTGCTGGTAAAATGTCTCATGATGCATCTTCKCAAACCAGAACAAGAACTGCTTTTTTCAAAGGGGTCCTCGCGTTCAAAACAATTAATTACAATATGATGTCTCTTCTTCCACACAGATGCATCAGGTCCTCACTGCACCTGCATACAAAAGAAGCTCGGTCCATGTGCGGGACATTAACGCACCTTAATCCCATTATACACAAATATAAAAGCAAACAACACAATGAAGGCACATGGTGACTTGGCTGCAGATGTGAAGATTAAACATATTCAGGGAGGGCAGTTCTAAAGCTCAGCCTCGTTTTAATAATGTGGTTTTAGGGGAACACACGTGTTGGGAGAGCTGTCAGGTTTATCCACTTTGTGTGTGAAACACAGTTAAACACTAGAGAATCAGACCAGAGGCTCTGTTTGAACCCTGAATGTTTAATTTAACATGGAAAAACAAGCAGAGGCCCATCCTGGATCCGAGCAACTGTCTTCCTCAGCAAAGGCTGCAGGTTTCTAGATGAAAGAGCATGATGGAGACTCAGTCAGTTAAATAACAACTACATCATTTCATTTAAAAGAAAAGAAAAAAAGAATATATTAACAAATTATAAAAAAAAAACTTGTTAAATGAAAATAGAATTTAAAAAAAATCCCTAGAATCTTTGTGTTATGATAAAGTCATTTTGTTTTTGTTTCTGAATTTTTCTGGGCAGTTTGTTGCATCAAGGCTTTGATTCATTTAAACTGACTGGTTTTTCACAGTTCATAGTTGTTTGAACAAGTATTTTGGGGTTCTTGTGTCGGTCTTGTGAACAAAAGTAAAATGAGTGGCATAAACAGACAAGACATTTTAGTTCTTTTATCAAGTAATTTAAATTAGCACCTCCAATATACCTAAAAGTGCAGGTCAAATMTTTTAAAAGCTGTTTTTTTGTGGTAATGTTATAAACAATTAACATCTTACCTGTTGTAGATAACACTTTGAATGACCTCAGGTTGGTGAAACAGTTTAATCCTGACATGATTCAYAGGCTAATGGCTAGTCAGAAAGGGGTTGTGACTAAACTGGTTGTTTTGCACTGTATTATTTACATAGAAGCTACTTCTGTCAGGAATATAATTGACTAAATATTTGTATAATGAAACATTACCATTAATTTATAATGGTAATAAATTAAGGGGTGGGGGTTTAAGATGGGGAAGCATTTCTTTTGGATAAATTCACTCAAATATCTAAACAACTGCTTTAAACTAAGAATCAACAGATATAAAACAAATTATTTTGGTTGAATATGTTAAATATGTTACATGAGAACAACAAAAGTCTTTTTTGTTTTTAAATTTAAACTTTTCGGTCACTTTGAAGTTGTAAAAAATTATGAAAAAGAAAGCGAGAACTCAGTGTTTGCTCCCAATTAAATTTCTTTTAAGGACAATAAAATAACAACAGTGGGTCTTTTTTCAGTGTAGATTACAAACAGTGAAATTTAAGCAGATTTTTTTTTCTTAAACTAAAAAAAAGCTGTTCTCCACTTCTCATTCTGGTGTTCTGGTCCAACAAACAAGGCAAAACATGAGTTCTTCTGCTTTGAGTTTTTGTATTTAACAGTTTTATCCAATTGCTGACTGCACTTAAATGATGAGCGATCACAAAGAGCGCATAAAAAGAAAAGACAAAAATATCCACAATAAACAAGAACATATTTGTAGGCAAAAAWTTTTAGATCCTTTATGAACTTTTATTGTGTTCAACTATGATAAAAAAACCCTAAATGTTCGAACCATTTTCAGTGTCACAAAATATATTATTATATTCTACGAACAGCAGAACAGTCACATTACACAACAAATGCTGCAACTGCCCCATAACGTATTTATAACCAACATGAGCCAGCACTTTTTTCTAGACTGTAAAACCTTAAAGTCAAAAAAGAAGYCTTTAAAATAAGAAACAATGAGCTTTTTTTTTTTTGTCTCGCTGCTGTTTTAATCTTTCRTTGACAGATTGTCCAAACTTAGAAAAAGACACTGAGCTGGAGCGTAGGCACAACATTTCGAACATGCCACACCCCATGAACAAAGTAAATGGAGAGCGGTAAATGCTCCTCTTGTTCTCCAGCTTCTGGCGCTCACGTGTGCRACCAAAGATAACGCGTTTTTTCCTGAAGCACATCATCAAACGGGACAATGAGGCTCAGTTGAATACAAATTAGACACGACTTATATCAGAGATTTTACATGTTAGCATTATCACCTATAGATTTTTGTTTGTTTGTTTTGAGCAAAACGTAGCCAGAATAATTAAATGCAGTTTATTTACACGTGAAGGAGCATGATAAATGAATTTCCAAACCCTCCTGCATACAAAAATATCTTGCATTTAATTCCACAATTCAAAACATCCCAACTTCAATWCAGATCGGCACATTTGAGCTCATTCTGATCCAAAAGATTCCTCTTCCCCCTGGTCTGCAACACCTGAAATATCACCTGAAAGCATCCTAACACGGTGAAATTACAGCAAGTTTACTTGTTAAAGTGGCTGCCGGCTGTTTGTCTGTAAGCTGCATGCGGTCAGACGCTGCGAGTGGCCAAGAGGAGCTGAGGGGACGAAGCGTTCAGCTGAGTTTTTTGTTTTGTTTTCGAGTGTGAAATGTAGCTGCATGCTGGGATGTTAAACAGATATTCACAGTCGGTCCAACCTATTTTCTTTATTTCTCGGTGTAACAAATCGCGCTCGTCAAATTTGTTTTTACACGTTGAAAGCAATCATCAGACCTCCTCATATCTACCATGAAAAAGTTCAATTTAAAGGCTCAGTGACCTCTCCACTAATGTGATGGGTTTACTGCCAGAGGTGGGCGCTTGTGCGATGTGCTGAGTAAAGTATTCGCAGCCAGACACTGACAGGAGCTCCAGGATTAGGGAAGGGTCGGCAGGGATTTTTTTTCCTTCTTCTTTTTTTTTTTTTGTTTTTGCTTTTTTAAAGAGACAAATGTATGATTTTGATGTCACAGGCAGAGGAGGCGAGAACCCTCCCTGTCCTCGTCGCCCTCCTCCTGCGGGATACGGGGCAGCATGGCCGAACGGGTCAGACCCCAAAATCGAGGCGGAGACAAGTCCTTCTTGGTGGCTGTGAACTTCCAACCCATGTGAGAGCCGCAGGTCCGGCACTGAGCGATGGTCCAGGCGTACCTGAGAGTAAAAAGAAAACCACATTGTCTTACAAGTTTTCCTCCGCATCATTTAAAACAGTGCAAATAATAATAATAATAATAATAAAAACAAGTTTGAACCCTTTTAGCAGAAATAATCTTTTCCCTACACAACTAGATTCCTGTCTTAGTTTAGACTTGGCCAATCTAAAACCTTTTTAAGCCTTTCATAATACATTATTTTTCTTCTTATCATCTTTAAAGGGGGGATATTACTCAAAAATCAACTTTTGTTAAGCTTTATATCATGTTATGATGTCATTYCCTCATCAAAACATACCCACAGTGCTTTGCTTTGACTCATTCATGCATGTTTGAGAAATCCTTGACTCTCCTGTGGTCATGTGGAGCTGCCTAAGCGCTTGCTGGTACAAAGCACCTCCTAGTTACACAAAGCTCCTCCCTGCGGGAGCTCAGCTGCAGACTGAGCACCTCTTCCCCGAAGCACTGTTGTGAAGACGTGCTGAAGTGGGAGTGTCAGAAACAGTAGGAGGTTCTTAAAGAGGCAGGCCAATTTCAAGGCGTTCAAATTTATTTTTGATGTATGCAGCATTTTCAGGACCACTGAAGGTAAACAGTTACTTGATTGTGGTGTAGAATTGAGTTATGGTATGTGTCTGGAAAATAAAGAATACTCCCTCTTTAAGTTTTTTGTTTTTGAAGCTGAAAAACTAAAATCAAACTGTATGCTCTGACAGGATCAAACTTGTGGAATCCTGTTCTCAACACAACAGTTGTGTTAGACGGTACATTCAAATACAAAGCACACTCTGTTGGTTTTGCTGGTTTAAGCAGCTTCATAACAACAACTGTGTTTCCGTCTCAGCAGAAGTATTCAGAGCTTTGCTCAAACRAATCACAGTCCAGCGTGATTTAGCTGATCTGAACCCTTAAAGAATGAAACCACACTRGAATGAATGTAGCTCCTGTTAGAGTGAACATTTAAACTCCTGCAGAAGATATTCCAGTTGCTTTTAATTACATGATGGACAGGGCAGTGTAATAAATGTGTTATATGTCTTTAGAAGACACACTGATCCAATTATAGACAAAAGARCATAAATTAAACTCCTAGCCTGCCTTTTCCTGCACTAAGTCATTTGCAGGTTGTCCTTTATGCTCTGAGATTGACTCTTGGATGGGTGAGTGTCAGCTGMGTGCCATGAGAGCAACATAGTTACCCTGGAAACCAGCTGTGCAGTGTGGAGGGCCTGCCGACCAGGTTCAGGTTGTTGGCTTTGTACACCGTCAGGGTTTCATGGACGTAACCGTGAGGGTTGACGTACGCAGCCATGGGGCCGTACAGAGACAAGCTGAGTAGAGGGACAACGAGTTAGTGAGACGTGTTGTTGAACATCACAATGAAGCACTTAAATTAACAGACCATGTTGAATCACCATAAAAGGCTGAGAGATGCAGTGAAAGTGTTTTGTTTTATGTAAATGTTATTTCTGCTTTGTCTGGACTCAACAGTCAGTTCGAAACCCCCGATGAGAGCAAGACACTAATTTCAAAACACCTCTGAATAAAAAAATACACTCTAAAAATGTGTCATTTCATTTTAAAAGTAGGAACAATTAATTTTACGAAACATTTTAATCTCATGTTAAATGGAAATCTGCTTCTTAGTTAGTAAAAATGGGAATAAACACTTTATCTRAACTAAGTAGTTGCCCAAAAAATGTAATAAAGGTAGGAATGTTAGTTTTACTGAGTGTTAAACACCTCACTGGAGTTCACTTTTCATGCAGTAATTTAGGTTTGTGTAATAATGCACTCATGTTTTTCATGGACCTATGATTGAAAACGCATTAGCCACATCCAGCACATCGTTAAAGAAAGAAAGTGAGCTTAACAAGTCTGTAATTTCTGAACGTCTATCTTACATTCTACTCAGATAATCTGAGYGACGAAACCACACTTTTGTCTGAAGCATCCAGCGAGGGTCTGGATAATGTCACGTCTCTTTGGGGGGTTTGTGAGTCACCTCCGAACAAAGACATTACCCACAGCACATTGCAGACAGGTAGAAAATGACATTAAATAACAGTGTGCTCAGATGGGGAGAGAGCGGAGGCCACATACGCTCATGATGTAAACCTCGAATTTATGCAACGTCACTGTTTGTAACGACACACCTGGAGTCTAATATCCTTCAGTAAAGATAAAATAAATAAAATGCAATCTCCTCTACATAATCTAATCAATATGTATACATYAGTCTATAGTATATTACAATATACTCAGACGTTTCATTTAAATGTTTGTTTTTTAATTTGATTAAGATTTGTTTAAATGCAATCTGTCAGAAACAGACCTGCTAACTTTATTACAGTTTATTCAACACGACTGAAAAATTCTGTAGATTTTTATTATTATTTTTTTATTTCATTTGCTTTAGTTCTCCTACCAGTTTTACAATAGCTACAAAGATAAGTTAAAGTTCATAATGTTTGTACCCGAGTTCCTTCATAGTTGGGAAAAGTTTGGATATTTTTTTATCATTATTATAAAGTTTATTAATTTAAAACAAGACAAAATAAATTCAACATACAACAACAACAACAAAAAATCAAATTAAATGAAAGGTAGCAGAAGAATAAAAGAAAAGAATGATTTTTGGAATTTGATGTTTGATGTTAATATTTTCCAGGTCAAAAATAAAATAAAATAAAAGACAGAGTAGGGCTGCTCGACTCTGGAAAAAAAAAACTGATCATTTTGGTCAACATTGTAATAATGATTATTGAAAAAGGTTGTAAACATGGCATTTTTTGCACTTAAACCACATCAATTTGTCATACATGTCAAATTTTCCTCGATATTTAATCATTAAATGTTCCCTTAAGATTACTGACAAAGCATTTATTCAAATGTACAGGTAATATACTGGATAATATTTAAAAATAATTTCACATAATGGTACACTTTAAATTTATTGTACGGCTTTAAAAATAATCTGTTTCCCCCCAGTTTTTTTTTTACCCTAAACTATATTAAATTTACAGCTGCTTTAGCACAAWGCAGAACAAAAAGCAACAGCAAGGATTGACAAATGAAATGTTTAAGAATATATTACTAATATTTGCTCTATAAAGCATTTGTATAAGAACAGCGAGTCCTCACCTGAAGATCTCATTTTTTGTAGTGATTTCTGTGTCCTGGCACTGCTTACAGCACAGAGACGTACACTGAGGAGGAGACAAGTCGCTGCGTTAGTGTGAGGAAATATGTCGGGTATGCYCCACTGTTGAGTCTGATCAACAATAAACCATCAGAACATAAACAACACACTCTGAACAAAAAAAAACCAAAAAAAAAAAACCATACCAGAACATTTTTTCTATGGAGCTTTGATGGGATAATAGTAAGAAAAGATAGGACTGACGAAGCACTGAAATGAATCATCCWGAGCGAAATGTAAATGTTTGCATAAAAACAGTGACTCAGCTAAAACCTGTAGACATCTGCCTCTGTTAATGTGGCTAAAAAAACATAATGTCTCACTAAAACACACCGAAGCTAAACCAGGATGACAGAGAGCAGGCTGCTTTGTTCTGTTTAGTTCAAGTGAAGGTCAACGAGGAAGAAACACGGACATAATCTTTAAAAAGCTTCTTCAGCTCTGTCTGCATTATTTAGTTTGAATCCAAACACTCGCCTCGGGAAAAACTTGTGTATAAAATTTACTGTAACCACCAAAACAATCAAACAGTCCTTCCTTATTTAAAAAAGAATCAACTCTGAACTGAATGAGTGCACCAACAACACATCTGTCAGCTGATGTAACTCCACCAGAGAACACCAGACAAACCCTCTGGAGGAGAACTGGGTCTCATCACGTCAGGAAAACGATGCCTGTTTCTGTGTGGTGTTTACACACCCGGTCCATGATGTCCAGTTCACAGCGAAGTCTCTGGATGGCGCTGCCAATCTTCAGCAGCTGGAGCCGCAGAGCGTCGTCTATGGGCAGGCAGGCAGCCACCCTGTAGGAAAAGTCTGACAGAAACCAGGCAGAAGAAGAGGATGAAAACAGAAGAGGGAAGAGAGAGAACACATGAGAGAAAAAAAAAACGTGTTGTGATCCAAACAGACCTACGGCGTTGATCGGGAGTGAGTCGTCCTTCAGGTTCTCGTCCCATTCGTGGAGCTGTTTTTTCACTCTGTTCATGAGAGACTCCTGCAACAAGAAGCTTCTGTATGAAATGTWCCTAAGAATAAAACAACATGTATGTTATGGGCTGCTGTACTCACAGAGTCGTAAAGTGCGTACACCCAGGGAGGCCATGGAGTCAGACTGGCGCAGTGGAACTTCCTCTGTGAGGGAAATATATATATACTGAGCAAATTAATGTCAATGCGCCCACCCCCCCCCCCCCACCCCACACACACACACACACAAACAAAATCAAAAAGCTCTCCAAAAAGCTAGAAATTTCATTTTGAATGCTGAGGACTTCAGTACTTAACACACATTACACACAAGTAAATTTCTGATCTAAAATGTACCTAAGTATTAACTGAGTAAAAGTGGGCAGTAAGAATTTGAAAATGACATTTATTTGCCTCCCTAAAAAACATTTACACACTCACCACAGCCCAAATTCACAAAACCAGGAAGTAACAAACTGAAGGCTGGTAGATACTGTAAAAGTGTGGATAAAACACAGAACTGCACTTGGACTGTGGGTGAACTGAACAGTTAATTAAATAAATATACAGAAATGTTTAGAATAAACAACACTGTTATTTGTAAGGGAGTTTATATGAGTGCAGAAAACAATCTGTACATTTTGGCACTAAAGTAAAGTACCTCAAAGTGATCCTTGAGTGAACGTATATGTACATTAMCATAAAATTACTTTGGTAAAATYTCCTCTAAGAATATTACTTAAGTACAAGTTGCAGTAAAGTATCTGACATTTACTGTACTTAAGTATCAAAAGTAAATCTCTGATCTAAAATGTACTTAAGTATTAAATGAGTAAAAGTGGGCAGAATTTCAAAAGGACATTTATCCCCCCAACCCCAATTTTTTTCCAAAGGCCATAATGAATAAAATTTTATTTAAAAGTATTAATGCTGAAAAATGTTCAACTTTTTCTAAATGTTCCTGTTTTAGCTGCACATATCTCTCTGCCAGAGACATCTTTGGTTCTTGTTGGAGTGTGACGTGTTTTATGTCATGCAGGCGTGCGTGACGGTACAAACCACTTCTTGCATTTTTTWWAAAATGTATGGAGTTGAAAGTACTGATAATCGTGTGAAAATATAAGGGTAAAAATGAAAACGTTGACTAAAAAACGTTTTAAGTAAAAGTACAGATTAAGAAACGTAAAAATTATTTTGACTTGTTTACTTTACAACTCTGTATTTTGGAGTRGTAATATGTATCGTTCTTGTTCAAACTRTAMAACAGCTTCAGTCTATTGAGASTTCATCTACAGKGATGTTTGATATGGGAGTCACCTCAGCTAATCAGRATACATCCTACAGCTTCTGGTTATAAAACGCTGTTCTGAACTGACGCATGTGATTTAWGTGCAGAAGAGTCGAACCTGTCGATAGGTATTCCACCAGCAGCGCGCCTGTTTGCAGCTCTGAGCTYGGGGTTTGGAGGACGGGGACACGTGGAGCCTGGACAGGGGTGAGAGCTGCACAGCGGAGAGGGGGTCTGTGAGGATTCGTTCAGGAAGGATCTGCACTTTGGCTTGTCTGATGCTGAGAAACAAAAAAAAAAAGGAACGGAGGAGGAGCGTGAAAAAAAAAAAAACAAGTCGTGCCGAGGAGTAAATGTGATGTTAGTAGTTTGTACCTGTAAAAAGGATACACCAGTGAATTTAAGGAAGATATTTTTATATATAGTTATCGCATATAGCTTCCAAGGAACTGCTTGTTTTGTGACCTCAAACTGATATATGATACAGTATTTTGTAATACACAACACATGCAGCAAAAAAAGATTATATTTAAAGGGAGTGGCAGCTTGAGTTATATATCTGCAGGAGTAACAAACATAATGTCAACCAGATTATAATAATCACTTTATGTGCATTACGCAATGATAGTTAAATAAAGATGGAAATATGTCCTAATAAGGGCTTCGTCCTGCACAGTGGAGGATAATAATAAACGTGATCTATGGTTTCACTACAGTGACGTGGAAGGTCTTCATCCAGCAATATTTCACAGAGGTCAAACTAAGATTAAAAATCTGTACTAAAACAGCACTATTTAATAAAGTACCGTATAGATGTAACCAGAACTTAGAAGTTAGGAGTGTAAAAAGTGTAAGTAGGACATGAATGYTGGTTTAATCTCAACAGCTGATTGSTTGTTTGGKTGATCAATCCTGTTYAGCAGCTCTTGACCTYCCTGCACATCTGCTGCAGCTGGGCAAACATTCTGCTCCTCATTCRGGTTTAATAAATCATATTTGTTTCCTTCTAGTATTCTAGTATCGGTTCATTGCTGAAGGCGGCTGCATGAAGAGTTAGTGCACCCTCTAGTGTTGTCGAGTTGTTTCTTCAAGATCCAAAAACAACTTGTCAAAAACAACAAGTTCTTATCATGATATTTTATAAGAAATGTATTCCCAATATGGATATTCTCATAAATAACTATTTATAACAAGCATAAAGTTTCAATAAGCTGCTTTTTCTCCTTCTAAACGATAAAAACTGAATTTAGTTCATGTCAGCGCTCCATTACTTCTGAGTACAAACTGGGTCCAACATTTCAAACACAAACAACCTGTTTATTAGTAATGTTTGCATCTTTCACAAACAATTAAGCAATTAATCCCTGACCATTGATTMTTTTCTTTATGGGGGCATTTAGTTCCCACTTACCCATCAGCTTGAGTTCTAATCTCATGGACCTTGAATCTCTGCCTCCCCACAGCCTTTACTTTCACCGTTTCAATGCCGTACTCCTGCTCTTCTCTGTACGCGTATATTTCAGCTGTTGTTCCAAACTCTGCCTCCGGTTCTCCTGCATCACTGCACACACAAGCAGAAAAGAGTTTAACTTGCATAATAAAAATATAATCATCTACTGCACATGTGTCAAACTCAAGGGCCCGTGGGTGACTCCTGTGCCCCCCCCACACACACACACACACACAATGCCCAGGCA